CCGACAAAGTCATGCTCTTTGTACTGATGCGGTTTCTCAGTTGACATGAGAATCCCTCTTCCTTTCGTACCATACCAACCAACATCAGTATCAGCTTTTACAGTGACTTTGTCATCCATACTAATGTCAAGTGTAAGGGAAGCAAGTTCTTCATTCTTATATGCATCCGTCCAGACAAGCTTTAAGATTAAACCAGCGGCTACATCGAACGTGTAAAATCAGTCTAGCCGAAAAAGTTAACAGAGGAGGAATTATTTTCTTCCTAACCTTATTATTTCAAGGAACTCGCAATAAATCTTGAAGTGAATACTAGTTTCAGGGTGCAATATTTGCCACAAGCTGAATGTTACCTTTGATTTGCAGTTGCACTTGAACACTTTTGTAAACAGCCCGTTTTTCCTTCGGCGTTTTAGCGTTTTCTAAACTGAACATAATTGTTTCTTCTTTCATCAGTTCTATTAACCCCTCTACATCTTTGTCCTTCCACGCTATCCCGCGAGATTTTCCTGGCGACTTTTGGAGCGTCTTCAGCTTCCCGCTAAGCGCCATGTTGAGTGAATGGTGGGTCGATTTCCACATGCTCTCCCAAATCGGTGCTGACCAAAGGCGCGAAGGCTCATCAGGGAAAAGTTGGTTCGGCACGGCTAATCATTTACACTGCACACCTTATCCGAGCTGGGCTAGATTTTTAGGTTCGTGTACCAGTTTTATCCGTGCTCAGACTACCTCTCGACATGGTCCGAGCACGGGTGAAATTTTGGTCCGGCACGGATGGGGCAAAGTTGTTTACACGACTAAATCTATCCATGCCGAACCAATTTTTTTGGTACGCGTACTTTTTTCATCCGAGCCGTGCCAAAAATTTTCGGCCGTGTAAATGGGGCTAATGGCACTGGCTGTTCCAGTGTTCATGGAGCTAAGGTAAAATCATTTACTCAGTTCACACTTTTTTTGGTGCAGCAAATTCAATTCTGCCTTAACAAATTTAATCTCGACCTGCTCAGCCACTGTTGGTGGATTGCTTTGTCCTTCAGAGATTTTTTTGGAACTTTCCTCTTCCTTGCTACACATTTTTCTGGATAAGAGTGCAAGGTAAATCCCCCAGATTGATAGGCAGTGTCATCTCCTTTTGACCTTTTCTAAGCCCACAGACTTTCCCTTTGGTTGCGGTACTTGCTTGACATCTTTTGAGAGAGACTTTTTATCCTTCACCTACCTTTTGCCTGAGAGCCTTTGTTGTGTTGATTTTCAAGAGTGAATTGGCATAATTCCATAGTGACAGCTATGCTACTAGCAGCCCCGGCATAAAATGCTGCACAAGTCTCGCGAGCCGCAATATGAACCCTTCTTGCGCTGCAAAATTGTCCTCAAGGACATCTCTTGAAAATAACCTCCGTTGTTGGTTTTGTGTCTTTTGGTAACCACACTACTTCAAAATTGTATGTTTTAGCTTGGTAGAAAACTATGCGGGTGTAGTGTTATTGAGGGGCGAAACAGGTGAGAATAGATCAACACAGCAGCTTTAATCTAGCAAGAACAATCACATCAAGCACATGGTAAAACTAGCGCGCCTGGTATGGCTGATGGAAACTAAATGATAACATCACATTTCCCCTGAGAGTCTTATCTCCCGACCACTTTGTGTGGTCCTCCAAGGGGTAGTAGGTGACAGGTCTGCACAGGGCTGCTGGTCTTTACCCTGGAAGAGGCTTGATCAGGAACTGCATTGTCTTCCTGGTTTCCTGCTTCAGGTGGCAGCTATTTCTCCTCAGCTCACCCGCCATTTGGGGTCTCTCTAGCATAAGACCGTGGGGTGCCAGCCTTGTTCAGAACTGTCCCTTCAACTCTCTGGACTGGTAACCAAACTCGCTCTAGAGGGGAGAGGTCTGAAAGGTTCTTTGCAAGGTCGCACTTGTCAAAATTCTTCTTTTGTCTGGCTTT